AAGGTCGTTTTAATGCTGTTCCTTTTCCTGGTTTTGATCACACACAAAAATTACACTCAAATATTTAGATTATTATTAACCAAACAAAAGACAGTAGGAGGAAACAGGAAGTAAGCCTGCTGAGCGAGAAGAAAGACACCCTTTAGAGTAGGGTTTGTAACACACAGAATTTCTAACAGGAAATGAACACGTAAGTACCTACAGTAATTATGACAATAGGCACTGCAATGCTGTTTCCCAAGAGAAAGCCTAAATTGCAGAGAAATACTTATAAATAGCCAGAGATGAATGGTATGTGAGCACGTGAAAGCACCAGGTCAACGGCTTCCAAAGTTAGTCTGCACTGGTGTTCTCTTTACCTTTTGGTCTACATAAACCAAACTTCCTTTTCTTTTGTTATTATAGTGCATGTGTATGATGTCAGTGTGTGGGTGTGTGTGTCTGTAATAAATGTCACTGTGTATGTGTGGAGATCAGAGGACAACACTGTGGGGTCAGTTCTCTTCATCTTTACACAGGTTCTGGGGATTGAATTCATGTTGTTAGGTTCACCAACCCCCCAACTTTTCTTCTTGTACATGTCCAATCAGTATAAGATCTCACAGACAGAATAAGATCTTGGCATCTGGAGAAAGATTGAGGCTAGCCTGAGCTATCAAGGCTCTATTTCAAGAAAACTAGTAAGACATAGGTAAGACGACTTAGAAAGTAAAGGTATTTGCTGCCAAGACTAACCACTTGCATTAGATACATGGGATATAGTAGTCCCATATGCAAACTCCCACAAACACTCATGCACACATATGCACAAATAAATAATAAGTGAAAGTTCATTTAAGTTATAAGAGCTAGTTAGAAACAAGCCTAAGTTATTGACTGAGCTTTTATAACTAATCATAAGTCTCTGTGTCATTATTGGGAAGTTGACAGTCCTAATGAAAAAGTCTGACTATACAACTTATTTTATTTATTTAATTTTATTTTTTATTGTTTTGTTTTTTTGAGACAGGGTTTCTCTGTGTATCTCTGGTCCTCCTGGAACTAGTTGTGTAGACCAGGCTGGTTCCAAACTCACAAAGACCTACCTGCTTTTGACTGCCAACTGCTGAGATTAAAGGTGTGTACCACCAACCACCCAGCCGAAATTTTATTTCATTTTTTTAGACAGGGTCTCACTCAGTAGCCATGGTCGTCCTGAAACTCACATCATCAACCAGGTTGAACTTGAACTCAAAGATTCATCTGTCTCTACCTTGAAGGAGAGTGCCACCATGCCAGGCCTAGACTATTGTAGCTTAACAAGGGGGGCGGGGAGAGAAAGGGTGAATAATGGGAATTAAACTAGGGATAAGTTCACAAAGGCAGAGTGAGCAATACAGCTGATAATGTAGTAGTATTTCCAAAGGTTAAGAAAGAATTTCAGTTTTTTCACCACAAATGATAAACCATTTAAATTCCCTTTAAGATCAAAGGCTCACTTTTTCTTTGACAGTGACATTACAACTTACCAGGCAGCTGCCCTTTTCAAACAACCAACTACAAACAGCTGACATCTCAAGCCCTGACTAGTAGCATCATACACAGAATTAGTTTCTATCATTTTTAACCTACAAAAAAGCATGTTTAAACCTATTAAAACAAGCAGGAACTCATCAGTGCCCTACAGTACAAGGTCTGGGGATGACTAACTTCCCTCCTTCCCCTCCCCTCACTTAAAAAAAATTAGGTAAAACTCACAGAACATAAAAGTCACAATTTAAACCATTTAAAACTGTATAATTCTGCAGGACATTCAAAATTTGATGCAATGACCAACAATTTCAGGACAGTTTCATTACTTTAAAGAGCCTGTACTATTACACTATCCTGCATAGCAATTAAGTCCATGTAAACACTAATCTGCTTTCTTTTTCTACACATTTGCCCCCTTCAAAAAATTGTTTATTCATTTAATGCATATGGGTGTTTTGTATACATATATATTGTACATCATGTGCGTGCCTGGTATCTCTAGAAGCCAGAAGGGGTCAGATCCTCTGGAATGGAATTATAGGCCATTGTGGGTCTCCATATGGGTACTGGGAACTGAGGTCCTCTGGAAGAGCAACCAGTGTTCTTAACCACTGAATCACTTCTCCAGACTCATTTGCCTCTTAAGAATGCTTCATATAAATGGAATTATATAATACATGCACAGTGGAGTTTTGTTGTTTATTCTGAAACAAAGTCTTAGCTCTGGTTGGTCTAGCACTCACTATGTAATTCAAACTGGCATCAAAATTTGTGGCAATCCTCCTGACTCAGCCTCCTAAATTCTGAGATTATAGACATTTGGCACCAGGTCAATCTATGTATGAAATTTTTAGATCTAGTTTCTTTCAACCAACTTGTGTGGTTTTGTTTGTTTTTCCTGTTGGTGGGCAATAAACTCAAAGAGCCTTGTTCAAGTACTTTACCACTGAGCTAAACCCTCAATTCCACACTCAACGTATTTTCAAGGTGTATGTAAGTATCGGGATTTCACTTTCTTCTAAGGGAAAAGTTTTCCATTGTATGGCTACATCACATTTGTTAACCCATTCATTAGTTCAACATCTGGGCTGCTTCTACTTTGAATCTTTTTTTTNTTTTTTTTTTTTTTTTTTTTTTTTTTTTTTTTTTTTTTTTTCGAGACAAGGTTTCTCTGTAGCTTTGGTGCCTGTCCCGGAACTAGCTCTTGTAGACCAGGCTGGCCTCAAACTCCCAGAGATCCGCATGCCTCTGCCTCCCCGAGTGCTGGGATTAAAGGCGTGCGCCACCACGGCCCGGCCACAGTTAATTTTAACAAAGCAATCATTTTTCTCCCATGAAATTATGCTTAACACCTGAAACTTTTGAAGGCAGCGCTCTGATCTCTCTACTTTGAATCTTTATGAATAGGTTTCTGTGAATAATTCATTTTTTAAAAAGTAGACAAAGATTTTAAATAGATATTTCTCAGCCTGACATGATGACACAAGCCTGTAATCCTAATGTTTGGGAAGCTAAAGCAGGAAGATTGCTAACAGTTTGGGGCCAGCATGAGATACATAGTGAGTTCTATAGAGTGAGACTCCATCTCATACAAATAAACAAACAGGCCAACAAAATGTGTTTGTATCTCTCCCCCAAAGGGCACAGAGATGGCCAGTAAAACATAAATAGAGGGCTAGAGAATAGTTCAGTGGAAGAAAGCTTGCTAAGCTTCCATAAGACCCTGGGTGTGATGCACAGTACCACAGAGAAGCAAAGAAAAGCCATTAAAGAATCATCATCATCAGTATAAAAACTGGAAAATAGTGTTAGGAAGAATGTAGAGAAACCTGAACTTTCATATATCACTGGTAGGAATGTAAATGGTGAAATGTTATGGAAGACAGTATGCAGACTTAGGTACGTCAGCACCTGTCCAAACAGCAGCCCCTAGAAGGCTGAAGGATGAAGAGCATGAGTTCAAGGCTAGCTTGTGTTACATAGTGACAGAGACCCTATAACCAAAAACAAATTGAGCAACAAACTATACACAAAATTACCATATCATCACTCAAGTGTATTTTCCCTGCCCTGTTCTTTTTGAGGCAGACTCTCACTATGTAGTCCTGGTGGGCCTGGAAACTGCGATACAGACCAGGCTAGCCTCAAACTCAGAGATTTACCTGCCTCTGCTTCTTAAGTGTTTGTACTATGAACTATCATGCATGGGTGCTTTTCTTTTTTAGTCCTTAGACATTTCCAAGATCTACAGATATTATAATATTTGGAATGGTATGTTAGGAAAATTCTAAACTATGCGTGACTCTCTTCTGAGCAAAGACATACTATTCTAGTTACCTCTTAACTAACAGTGTCTCATACCTATAATCCCAGCACTTGGGCAGGCTCTTGTAGGACGGCCATTCCAAATTTGAGGCCAGTTTGAGACTTGTCTCAAATAATGGAGCTGGAGAGCACTGGCTGTTTTTTACCAGTGACCAGGTTCAGTTCCCAGCACCCACATGGTGTCTTGCAACTGTCTGTAATTCTGATGCCTTTTTCTGGTCTCTACAACATGCATTGAACATATATGGGGCACAAACATACAAGCAAGTAAAACACCACATATAAAAGTAAAGCTTTAAAAAAGTTCCCAATTTAAAAAAAAACTCAAAGAATTTTAAAAAAAACCACATATACTATTAATAATCAACACTACCATTCCATTCTTCTCCTTTATCAACACAGGTATTTAAGGAAAAGCCTTTAAATGGTGTCTTCCCTGACTTTTTGAGGTTATGCCTTTTTTGTGTGTCTTTCATTATTAAGAACAAAAGGAAAGTGTTCAGGCGGGCGGTGGTGGCGCACGCCTTTAATCCCAGCAGAGGCAGGTGGATCTCTGAGTTCGAGGTGAGGTCAGCCTGGTCTACAAGAGCTAGTGCCAGGACAGGCTCCAAAGCTACAGAGAAACCCTGTCTCGAAGAACTAAAAAAAATAAAAAAAAAGGAAAGTGTTCAAATTTATATAATAGGTGACAGACAAAATTCCTTGCTTGCCCTGAAAATGAGAAAAGAAAGGTTCACTTATAAGACAGAAATACCAAGAATATCTTCAATTCACCTCAGTGATGACAGATGTTCAACTTATCTTGCTTGTATTTTGAGACAAGGTCTCTCTGTGTAGCCCTGGCTAGCCTGGTAATCGCTATGTAGAACAAACAGGTTGGTCTCAAATTCAGCGATCCACTTGTCTGTCTCCTGACTGCTGGGATTAGAGGTGAGTGCGACCAGATTAACTAGGTTTTTATTTATGGTCTTACAAAAAAACTAAGCAATTTTTCAGTTGACCTAATCATATTTAATCTTTTGCCGCAAAACCAAAAAAAAAAAACCATAGCAGCCTTGGAGGCAAAGAAAAGCAAGATTACTTCCCCGCAAAACAAGTGACTCATACTAAGATGCACTCTGTCTTACTATCAAATTTAAGAAGCTAGCAAGCAGAGACTGTACCTGAGATACTTGGCCTTGGGCTTTTGTAGGTTGAGCCGTTCGAATGTTTAAAGACTGGCTTCTTGTTACAGTTGCCCCAGAAAGGTATTTTCCATTCACCTTTCTTTCTAGGTGACAACTTGCTAGAGATCTCTCTTCAAGAAGAACAGCATCCCAAGGATCCTCTGCTAGCAAAACTGGACTCTTCTCCTCTCCGTCACGCTCTAACAACTCCACACTGTCCACTTTAGGTTTACTTAGAGGATCCAAGTCTAACCAGTCAAATTTACTGATGTCTTCAGACTTTGGAGACACTTGTAGACTGCAGACTGAAGTTTTCGCATTTGCAATCTCCAAATCAGTCCTTGCTTTCCCATTTTTTAAAAATTCTGATGTACTTGCTATTTTGTCAAATAGTTTTGCCATGTCAGGACTGACTATTGGCCGATAGATTGGTAAATTTCCTTGTGGCTGAAATGGTATGGAAGGTGTCAAAGGATATGAAAAATATGGAGACTGTCCTGGAAGTCGTAAATATATAGGTTCTGTAGATGGAAAAGTGGGCATCCTTGGACTGAAGCCATTCTGGAATGTGGTCTGTTTACTGTATGCTGAAGGATAAATAGAAGGTAAAGTATATGTGGAAGGCCCGGATAATCCAGGGGGCCACTGTTCTCTTTGAACAGTAGGTCCAAGATACAGCTGTGCTGAAAATGAAGGGCTCAGAACAGGAGTAACTGGCAGCACAGGTGGTTTTTTAGTCTCAAAACTGTCATCCAGCAGTATCTTCTCAAGTTCAGCTTGGGTGAGCTTTTCTACGTCAATATCTACTGCTCTCTTTTGCGAATCAGACTCAGGAAACACCATGAGATCATAATCCTGTTTGTTAAAACCTTGTGTTCTTTGTCTAGTGCTGCTAGACAGCTCAAAGCTTCTAGGGCTGTCAGTCATTTGTCTATCCTTCTGAAGTTTTGCTAAGGCCTCTGCTTCCATCTGTAATGCTTCTGCTTTGTCCACATCTTTGGTTCTTATTGGTTCCGGATGTGAAGATGAACACTGTTTAAATTCATTGCTGTTGGAAATCTGAGCCATGTCCACAAAACACACCAACCTCTTAATCTTTTTTTCTTGTAGCTTCCAAAATATCAGGACCTATATATAAAAATAAACATAACACTCAGTTAGATTTTCTAAACACAAATTAATTTTGTTTAAACCTAACCCTGCTGGATGTGGTGACAAACACATTTAATCCCAGCACTTAGGGGAAGAGGCAGGCAGATCTCTTTGAATTTGAGGCTAGTATGGTCTACAGAGTGAATTCCAGGTTAGCCAGGAATATATAGTAACATGCCATTTCAAAAAACAAACAAATAAATTAAATAAAACCTATCCTATATTAAGTTTTGAAGCCACTTACAAAAATACACACTAATACAATGAGAGGTTTCATGAAATCCTAATGGAAAAGCACGTTAACGTTTTATCCGCTCTTGGGTTCAGCAGACACTGAAACACACTTTATCCCACTTGCTAAGTTATCAAAATACTTGGCAGAGTAAGTGACGTTAACAAGGCCTCATATCAGTTGTCATAACGCCTGTCATTTCCCAGTGACACTCTGGCTTTATTCCTGACATGAAATGACGTAAGTACCATTCACATATTTCCAAGACAAGTTGCTTATGATTATGCAACTTGGGCTGGAGAGATGGCTCAGTAGTTAAGAGCACTGCCTGCTCTTCCCAAGGTCCTGAGTTCGGAGTCCTGGCAACCACATGCTGGCTTACAACCATCTGTAATGAGGTCTGCTGCCCTCTTCTGGTCTGCAGACATGCACACAGACAGAATATTGTACACATAATAAATAAAATAAATATATAAAAAAAGAAAAAAATCATAAAAAAAAAAGAAATAGCCACACAAGCCTGGCAGCCTGAGCAATTCCCAGAGCACACATGAAAGCAGAAGAGAACCTGCTCCATAAAGTTGCCCTCTGACCTCTATATTCATGCTGTGGCATGGGTGCCCATACATACATGGTGCACACAGACACACAAGTAATTCTTAAAAAAAAAAAAACAAAAAACTGAGCATGGTAGCATATGCCTATAACCAGAACACGGGGGTGCAGACAAGCGGACACCAGGAGCTTGCTAACCAACCAACCTAGCATAAACAAGGTACTCGATACAGGCTCAGTAAAAAATCCTATTCCTTAAAATAAGTGGGAAAGTGAGAAAAGAAGGCAGCTCAGGATACATTCTGGCCTTTGCATATGCATGCACAAATATACACACCCACACACAAAGAATGCATTCACAATCAATGCATCTTATAGGTAGTGGTGGCTGGAGAGATGATTTAGCAGTTAAAAGCACTGGCTGCTCTTGCATAAGACCTGGGTTCAATTCTCAGAACCTACATGTCACTTACAACTAGCTCTAATGCTAGTTCTAGGGGATCCAATGCTTTCTTCTGGTCTTTGAGGGCACCAGGCATGCAGGTGAAAACTCATAGCCATAATTTTTTTTAAAGATAGGCAGTGGAGGTGCACACTTAAATCCTAGCACTTGGGAGGCAGAAGCAGACAGATTTCTGTGAGTTCAAAGCTAGCTTGGTCTTCAGAGTGAGTTCCAGGATGCCAAGGATACAAAGAAACCAGTCTTGAAAAACAAAAACAAAACAACAAAAAGTAAATATATATTTAAATATAAGAAAAGACAAAGAACAGAGTTTATGTATAGTCACTGAATACAGAAGGTCTCCCTAGCTTGGTTCAAAACCTATAAACCATATAAAATTTTCATAATGTTTGGGGTACATACATTTTTAAAAAGGTTTATTTTTATTCATGTGTATGAATGCTTGCAAACATACATACATGTATGTGTACTGTTTGTATGCCTGGTATCCACAGAGGCCAGAAGATATCAGATCTTTTGGCATTGGAGTTATAGATGATTGTAAGTTGCCATAATGATGCTGGAAACTGAAACAGATTCTCTGTAAGAATACTAAATACTCTTAACCACTCAGTCATCTCTCCAGTCTGGTTTAAATAAATATCATGACAAAGGAAAACACTATATGTTCATTTCAATGATGTTTCCTAGATGTGTACTATGCACCCTGCACTGTTCTCAGTGATGAAAAGCAAAATAAAGAGTTTAATTATAAAATGTCTGTGGAAAGCAATAACCCAAGAAGAAAAAATTTCCTACTTACAACATACAGCAGAAATTAATCCTCCTAATATATAACACAGAATCATTAGGGGGAAAAATCAATAACAATGTATTAAAATGGAAGAGTTTGAATAAACAGTTCACAAAAAAGTAAAGATGCCCAATACACATCCTCTTATTGAGACAATAGCAATTAAACCATACTAAACCTGTATACCAAACTATATCCCCAACCTATGAATGAGGAAATGATGAAAACTAAAAAACTATTTTAGAAAATTTAAAAATTTACAGTAAAATAGATGAGATTAATAAAGATCAGAGAAGAAAACAGTAACATAAATATATATTAGGAAACTAATAATCTATCTGGCAATAACGATCAGGAAAAAAAAATTAAAATTGGTGTGATAGCACAAACCTGCAATCCCAGAACTCAGGAAGTGGAGGGAAGGTCAGGAGTTCATGGTCACCTCCAGATATGTATTTATTTTATTTTATGTGTATGAGTTATTTTGACTGCATGCATGTCTGTGTACCAACCACATGCATGCAGTACTTATGGTAGTCAGAAGAGAGCATTAGATCCCCTTAGCATGTGAATTACATAAAGTCATTAACTGCCATGTGGAGGCTGGGACTCAAACCACAGTATTCTCAACTATATACAACAGAGTCCAAGGCCAGCTATATGAGAACCTGTCTCAAAAGCAAAACATTTAAAAGAAAATAAATATTTTAAACAAAACATGTACTTAGGGTAGTTAGTATGGGATGAGCAGAAGCGCCTTCCTCTAGTGAATGCATCAGCAACTCACACTTAATGGGAAACCTTGCAATTTTCCTTATGGCCATAACATAAACAAAAGCAGAATGCTAACTATCACCTTAATTCAACATTTTAACCAGTCCTAGACAGCACAGTAAGGTAAGAAAAAGAAATAATGGGGTGACATCTTTGTACATCTAAAGACCTAAAGACATGAAAGCAATTGATGCTGTTCTCAGAGAATGCAGAGAATGAAAAGGGAGAAACCATGAGACCCAAAAAATATCCACGTAGGAAACAAAAAGAGGAAAAGAATGATAATGAAATACAGGAACGCTCTAATGGACAATACAGAGACAGGATAAGGAATGGAAAAAAAAAACACATAGGGAAATCTAAAAGCTCTTCAGCAACTTTGAGAAACAGATTAATAAAATAAAATACATCCTGCTAAAAGTTCATGCCTTTAATCAAAGCACTTGGGAGGGAGAGGCAGGATGATCTCTGTGAGTTGAAGGATAGCCTAGTCTATATAGAGTTCTAAGATAGCCAGGATTACATGACACAATCTGTCACACACACACACACACACACACACACACACACACAAATTCATTCAGATCAAGTGTAGTGGCACATGTTTTTGATACCAGCACTCAGAAGGGAGAGGCAGAGCTGTGTAAGTTCAAGGTCAACCTAGCCTACATAGTGAGTCCTTGTTTAAAAAAAAAATCATTAAATTATACCTACAGGGCTAGAGAAATGACTTAGCAATTAAGAGTATGCACTGCTATTGCAAAGAACTGGAATCCAGTCCCTAAAGAGAAATTATGATATCCAATACATCCATGTCAAGTAGCTCACAACTACCTGTAACACCCTTAGTAATATGTGTGAAGTTAAAAAAAAATATGTGTGAAGTTAGCATCAAATCAATTTATTACATAGATGGTACATTCTTTAACTAAGGAAGTAAAGGGTTGTTTGTGAAGAGTTGTGTGTTTATCTCATGTATTTCAGGTTCGCCTTGAACTCCTGATTCTCTTGCCACCACTTCCTGAGGCACTAGTCACCATGCCTGACTGGAAGTAAGCTGTAATTTTATACACTGTATAAATAATTTAGCCTCGTCCAAAAAGAAGTTTATTTTGGCATATCTGGTAGGAATGTCATTGCTTAGTGCAACTGGCCACAAAAAATGACCAACATGATAGGGAAAACATGCCTGATAGTGTGATTGGAATTCAACCCAGAGACTGAGTTAATCATACGGGTACTCTACCAACTACAACAATGTAATGAAGACATACTGAGAAAAAAAATATGGTCCCTGCAACTCATGTGAGAATCCCTGGCTGCTAAACTTCATGTATACTATACACATGGATACTGGAAGCACAACACATTTGGATATCACGGGGAAAAACCTACCACAAGTTCCACGTTGGGAACACTGCTGGACTTTGTTCCGAAACATGTTCTTTTCCTTGACTGATTTTAATCTATCCTTTCCCCATAATAAACCATTAACCACAAGTATAACAACATTCAGTAAGTTTTATGTATCCTAACAGATGTCAAGCCTAAGGGTGGTATGGGTAACTCTGCTTTTCAATGTGCAGTTCATGTTTAACACAGGGCAGTCTTATGTCCACTATGCCTTCCTTCAGAGGTGAGGTAATAATAAAGACAGTACGGCAGATCTGAAATACAGAAAGACAAGAAACAAGACTTTCTATAGACAGGATAAGCTGGTTAGTGAGGCTGACAACAGAGATCTATAGAATCATGTCAGTGTGCAGAATCCATATTTTGCTGATATGTCATGGTTCTTCTTCAAAGTTATTTATCTATTTATTTATTTGCAGTTTGAGTAGATCTATGTAAACTTTTAAATACTCTAGATCGGGGTGACAGTCTCACTTGTGAGCATATACTTCAAAGCATACCAAAGTGCACATTTTAAATATGAACAGTGTATTATACTTCTATTATTCTTTATTCAACTTTGTTAGAAATAAAATCAAGTGGAGAATCAGGAAAAAATATGCTAGATCAATATAAATCAGAATAGCACTAGATTTTTATAATAAGCTATATTACTACATTCAGTACTTGGCTCATATATTATATAACACTTCTAACAGACAAAGAACCAAATAAAACTGACAGCAGGGCATAGAACAACTGTTCTC